GGGGGGGGGGGGGGGGGGGGGGGGGGGGGGGGGGGGGGGGGGGGGGGGGGAGGGGGTAATGTGGAGATCTCCTCTACTCAAGGTAAAATCTCCCCAACGCCTGTCGAGAACAATGTCGCCCTCTTCTCACGGAAAACGATAAAAAGAACGCCGGAAAACCGACAAAATAAACCCGTCGGAATAAGGTATAATACCTTTTTGCACCAGAGCGAGTCCACGGGCGTGCGAGCACATGCCCCTGGCGGTCCAAGATGAATAGGTCCGACGGCTTTAGCCTTTCCTTCTGGACCCCCGATGGCGTCATGAAAACACGATTGCCATGCCTGTGGAGTGCGTGGTACGGTATGTGTTTTGTGTGTCAGTGTCCTGTTTCAAGAAAATACGGGGTCATGGAAACACGATGGTCGTGCCAGCGGAGCGCGTGGTATGGTGAACGTGTTTTGTGTCTCAGTGTCCCGTTTCAAGAAATACGGGATCACGGAAACACGATGGCCGTGCCTGTGGAGCGCGTGTGCGTGCGCGTGAGTTAAGGTGTGTCAAGCGTGCTGTATCAATTAAATATACCAAGCATTCATCGAGAGACTGCTGTAACCCTGCGAGATCATGACATCTCAGAGAGAGAATTGTATGATAAACCATTATGCTGGAAATTGATAGAAACGGGTTGAGAATAAACTTCAACGGAAACGGAGGAAAACACGCCACCACTTAGTGGTGATGGTTCTGGAAACTGGAAAGAACGCGTTGGGAATAAACTACGGGAAAACGGGCAAACACACGCTTCCACTTGGTGGTGATGATACTGGAAACTAACAACAATGGATTGGTAATATCTGCGGGCAAAGAGAGCGACACACGCTTCAAATTATATGCATAGGTTTATATATATCATGCGGTGCAAAACAACGACGACGAAGCTCCCCGCTTACCGTATATGACACAAGATAAAACACCCCCTGGACCGATTACTCCACGACGAAGAGGATGCATAAACGAAACGATACATTGTTGCAAAGCTCTCGACGAGACGGTTCCAACGCCGCCGTTTCGGCGCCGTGACTCTTTCTGTCGCTGAGAAATCGAGATTTGAAAATCGGTCCAGGGGGTGTGTTATCTTGTGTCATATACGGTAAGCTTCCGGCTTGCCCAGTAAGAAAATCCTGCGTGTTGTGTCTCCAAAAAACTACCCCAACACATCCTGGCCCTGGGTAACATTTCGACGAAGCACGCGTCGCGATGACGCTCCTTGTCGGAAGACTCATAAAATCAGTGAACAAGAACAGCCCAAATAATTAGAAGGGTTGCTCTTGAGAGCACAGCCGAGCGTTACGCAGGGGTGATGCAACAACGAGAAAAAAGCAGGCAGCAGCAGCTGGCTGCCAGCTGCCGTGTGGCCTTTCCCAAGCCCAACAGCTGACGTGTTTCTGACTCCGACAGCCCAGCAAAAGCTACATGAACCGATAAGAGAAAAATTCAAAATAATCTGTACAGAGTAGAGTGGCGGCTACGGTTTAAGAGAGGGTTGTGACAAGCCAGTACTTCTCTCTTGAATCTGTTTTTCTCTTAAGCCGTACTGTGAAATGTATGCATTTCTCACGGTCGTGACAAGCCAGTTTGACTCTCTCAAATCGGTAACTTTCTCTTAAATAGTCTCTCTTAAACCGTCGCCGCCACTGTACAGTACAGCAGTCTTGAGCAGTTTTCGGTGACCACGACCAACCAATCGAAGGCGTTCATTGCACCATACCTGATGCTGATGGAGCCTCCCGTTCCTGTCACCCATCCCAGGTCATAGAATTGCCGGCACAGGCTCGCCACCAGCTCTCGCGGGTCTCCAGCCAACGTGCCGGATGAACCGGGCGCCGGCGTCGTGCGGGGGTCTCGTATCTCCACGTTCACGCCTCCGTCGCCGGTCTGTGCATGGGCGGGGGGGGGGGGGGGG